GCTGCCCCCACGTGTTGCTTGCTCATTATTGTTGCCACACACCAGTAAAGACCTGGGAACACTATTGGGAAGCATGAAGAGGAGCCAGCACAGCCACGCAGCTCTGGAGGTCAAGGATCTTGCTTTGGAAGACTCTTCTCTTCCTTCTGTTCCTCCCTCAAGATCAGGGTGTTCCTTATACTCAAAAATCTCAAAATCAGATTGGGCCTGTTTGGAAGTGAGATGATCTGGAGGCAGCAAAGCACAGAGGTGTCCTGGTCCCTCCCAGGATGTGTGTGAGCCCTGGGAGCCCGCCAGCGATGCCGAGCGATATCGGATACGGCACAGAGCATCCAGGAGTCTTGGCTCAGGCCACGAGGAGCACAGAGTGAGAGACAGCTCTTGGCAGGCTCAGCTCACATGATAAGGTCATTGGAAAGACAAGTGATGCTTTCATCAGCCTGCCTCTCCCCAGAATCAGCACCAGCTCAAGCAAGGGTCTGTGCTCCTGTAATATCCTGTGCTCCACGTAGTGCCAAGGACAAAAGCTTCCTCACAAAGAGGAAGGTTGAAGGTTCTTTTCCCAACCAGTGTCCCAGCCCCCAACTCCCATCCTTCCTGGCCCTGTCAGGTTCCAGTTTTGAATAGCACCCCTTGGAAAGGTAATTTTCTCTCTGAATCAGTGGCACCTCTCAAGCTGAAGGGAGAGCAGGCTGTAGTTGCTGGCTCTCTGCTGCTTCCCAGCAGTTACAATTTGGGATCTTGTGGTTTTGTCCTTTGTTGGAGTAGCACATGCTGACTATTCTGGAGAGCATCAATCCCAAAAGCTGCCTGAAGCCTGGGCTGACAGGTTGGTAGTAGCAGCCAAGCTCTCTCATGGAACCAGTTTGTGGCTGGGGGAGGTCCCAGAGCAGTGTTCCTGACCATCCCTAGCCCAGCTCCTTGGAGCGGTAGGGCTGGATCTTTGCCATCCTTTCACCAAGAACCTTTCTGGCATGGCACCATGAACAGATGGGCCATGGAGCAATTCCTCAGCTCAGATTGTCCACAGGCTGCCCTGGACCCTGCCTGGAGCTCTCTGAGAACATCTGAAGGGAACAGCACTCGCTGGCAGGGCTTACGTGCTCCGGCAATTGGGGATTGCAAACACATGCTTCAGCTATGCAAGAAATCTTTGACTTGTTCTGAATGCAATTCTGCCTGGGTTTCTTCCCAGGAACATTCCTGTTCTTCACAATTTACCAGTTGCAGGAAGGGAGAAGGGGGAAGGGGGGATTTTAGGAGTAAGGGAGAGGAAAGGGAGCAAATCTCACGGTGCTTTCCCTCGCCAAATTTCTCCAGAAGGACAGGGTGTGGAGCATGGACTCCAGAGTCTGGGACAATCCCAAGAAAATATGAATTACAAAATTAAAACCACTTTTAATTAGTCATTTGTTTTTATAGAAAGAATAAGTCTGTTTTTCTGAAGTAATTCACTGCCTGCTATCACACACACCAGGCAGCCCCTGCCAAATGGAGCTGTTTGATAGAAGGCAAGCCCAGAACGAGGGCTCTGAGCAGAGACACCTTATCTCCTCCAGGAGACAGCAGTGCCATTCAGATCTGCATTCTGCTTCCCCAGATAAAAGTGCCACTCCTGAGTCACTGCATACGTGAGGGAGATGCAAATGTAGTCCCCGTAGGTGGGAGTAATTTGATGTCTGAGATGAATGATGAAGCTGGGCCTTTATCGTCACACCTGCTCTGCTCCAGAAAAGAGAGGAAGCGTGAGAGGGTGGAGGCAGGAGCTGCTTCTGCCCTGGGAGAAGCCAGAGGTGCAGGGTACCCAGCTCCTCACACCCTGACTCCAGGTGACACAAATCCCTCTTCCCAAGGAGGGACACAGTGGCTGTCACCCGTGGGGGCTGGGCTCACACTGCGCTGGGCCTGAGCAGGATGTCCCTGCAGGGAAGGTGTCACACGGGCTCTGTGCTCCTTTCCAGATGTCACCTGAACCATCAGCTCCTTCCTGCAGCCCAAGACCCTTCCAGGGCAGTCAGTTACAGGGCTTGTGCTCCATGGCAAAGCCTGGGACCTGCTGAGCTACACGAGCTCCAAGGGGAGAAAGCCTTGGAAGAGACAAGGTGTAACCTGATGCTACCAAACATGCACTCTGAGTAACCTCCACAGCTCAATTGACTCCATTAAGTATTTACCTATAATTAATTTAATTTAGTTGAGGTTTTCTCCCCTGTGTTGGGTGCCTACTGTATCAACTTCTTAAAATTATGGCTGTGTGTATAATTCAGTCAAATGTACATGCAGTACCCACAGAAGCTGAGTCATTCCAGGTACCAGGGAGAGTTTTATTTTGTTGTGTTTGGCTCGTGCTTCTGACTTAACACAGGGATAACTCCACTAAAATTGGTTGTGCTGCATTAGTCCAAAGCCAGAGCAGAGCCCAGCTTTTATTCATTATTTGCAAGAGAGACATCATAATTTCTATAATGCCATGTCCAGAGTATGGGTGGGGTTTTCTCCAGCTGCCTTCCCAGTCTCCCACTGGGGAACAATGAAATGAAGGTAAAAAGGAATATCCATCTTTTTCTCTTTTTGTGTGTATAATTCCAGCAGATTCCTATTGCCTCACAGTGCTGTGTAGGAACCTTTCCCAGATATCTGCTGAATTAAACAGGAGTGATTGGTTGATTCTGAGGAGATGCTCAAGAAGTTTTTCCTGAAGTTACCCTTTTCCCAAGGGTGGAGAGCAGCCTGTGACTGAGTGAGAGGTTTTATTGCACAGCTTAGAATGCAGCTGAAAGAGAAGCACAGAACAACACAGGGAAATGTGTGTCTGACACTTCTCACACTTCTGAAGTGAGCCTGAGGAAAGAGGGACAAATCCCAAGTGATGAGGAAAACTGCAGTTCTGGGTCTGAGCAAGAGCTCCCAGGAATCACAGGGACACAGGAGAGGAGCCCTGTTCTAGATTATTTGGAGATTCCCAGCCAAGACCTTCATGAAAGTTTTGATTCTTTCTTACAGGGATTAAGTCTGGGAAGCAGCTGGCATGGATGTGAATTCTAGCTGGTGCCCAGCACCATGGACACTCTGCTCTGTGGATTGAGTGCAAATGAGCAGACTCAGCTGTCACCCTCTGCACTGATCTCAGCCAGGGCAGGAGGATTCTTCCTGAAATTCAGGGCACTAATGACCCTTGTGGTGGTTGAGTGCAGATAATGACTGAACCACTGAGCTCTCAGACAGACTCTGCTTGTTTGGGGCTGTGCAGCTCTCACAATCTGTCTGCTAACTACAAAAATATTCCAATTATTTGGAATGATGACATCACCCATGCAATTGACCCAGATCCAACATCAGCACTCCCACAAAACAGTTATTTCTTGTTAAACACTATCGAGGACAGTAATCCAGCCCAGACTGAGCCCTGTCAGCAAAGCCTGGTTGATTCCTCCACATTTCCAGCATTTCCTCAGCAGTTTATTTTCCAGGTTCGACAGGGTAGCCTGAGTAACCTGGATCTGTTTGACAAAACGTGATTATTGCTTGTAGCTTTTGAACCTCAGTAGTCTCAGAGAGGCTCCAAGTGGCTCAGGAAAGGCATTTTGGCACCTTTCATCTGCTCCCCATGCTTGTAAAGCCCTCACCAGCACACTAAATCCATCATCTGTCGGGCCACAAAGCTGCCTGAGCCCAAAGTCATCTGCTCCTGGGATGATCTGGCCCAGGGATGGAGGGAAGGAAATCCTGCTGGGAGATGGGGAGCTGGCTCAGCCACAGTCCTGCCTGGCCACTCTCCCAGCACCCTTCCATCCCTGCCAAAATCCCTCAGTCCCACCAAGGTGTGTGGGCAGGTAAGGGCTGTGAAGAACAGCTGTTGCTTAAAGAAATTCTTGATGCTTGAGGAGCCTTCTTTCCTCTCACTGTGTCACATTTACCAGCTGATGATGTAGCTTGTCCAGGGGTATCCAGAGCTGGAGAGGAAATGCCCTCCCCTCATGCCTGCAGCACTGGGGGTGCACAGGGGAAGGCAAAGGGATGGCCAACGACTGCACTCAGCTTTAATTTCATTTAAAAGCAGGTTTGTCCATCACCTGTAGGGCAGGGAGCAGCCAGGCCCGGGGCTGAGCCAAACCCAGGCTGCCCCTGCAGGAGATCTTCACCCCGCTGAAATCTGACAGCTGGCAAGGAGGGCATCATTCCTCCTGTCCCTGCACCCCAGAAAAGCTTTGAATGTGGGACTTGCTAGCAGCGTGTCCTGAGCTTGCTTTTTAAACATCAGCCGTGAGTCAGGGTGGGCCAAGGCAAACACAGAGTGTGGAGCACGGCTGGTCAGCTCTGCAGGCACCCGCAGAAATACCGACAGTGTCAAATTGACATATTGTAATGTGGCATATTGTAATAGGGACACACTGTAATAGGGGCACACCGTAATAGGGACACATATTACATCTGTTATTACATGCTGATGATGTAATAACTGAGATGTTAGTGTAACACGGGGCTGTGCAGGTGTGTGACATGACCCCTTGTACCGGTGTGTGACGTGTCCTCGGACAGTGGCACCTCGCCCGTGGTTGTTCAGGTGTGTGACATGGCCTGTTGTACAGGTGAGTGACATCACCCGTCGTTCAGGTGTGTGACCTGACCCATTGAACCGGCGTGTGACGTGTCCCGGGGCAGTGGCACCTCACCCGGGGCTATGCAGGTTGTGTGAGGTGTCCCTGTGTACAGGTGTGCAGTGTCCCTCGTTCAGGTGTGTGGTGTGTCCCCCTGTTCAGGTGTTTGACCTCACCTCTGTTCAGGTGTGTGAAGTGTCCCTCGTTCAGGTGTGTGGTCCCCTCGGAATGGGGCCGCGGGCCCTTTAAGCGAGGCCCCGCCCCCTACCCGTCCCGGCCCCGCCCGCTCAGCCCCTCCCTCCTCACCGCCCATCCCGAGCTCCCATTCGTCGGGCGGTGCTGAGGTCCCGCCTTCCGGCGCCGCCAGCCAATGGGAGGAGCGCTGGGCGAGACCGTGGCCAGGTTGGTGCGGGGCCGATGGCGGCGGGTCCGTGAGGGGAGCGCTGGGAGGGGGGTGGGAACCGGGACGTCCTGAGGGGAACGGGGCCCTTGAGGGCAGCGGGACACCCGGAGGGGAGCGGGAGCCCTGGGGGAAGCGGGGCCCCAGTGGGGAGCGGGACACTCTGAGGGGATCCGGACCCTCCTCAAGTGATGAGGGCGTTGGGGTCGCCTGAAGCGCTGAGGGCAGCGAGACCCTGTGAGGGGAGCGGGACCCCCGAGGTGCCGAGGGCAGCGGGAGCTGAGGGGAGCGGGACCCCCGAGGTGCCGAGGGCAGCGGGAGCTGAGGGGAGCGGGACCCCCGAGGTGCCGAGGGCAGCGGGAGCTGAGGGGAGCGGGCAAATTGTGGAGCTGAGGATTGAAGAAAAAAACCAAACCAACCCGAACTTGCAGCTGTAGGCTGAGCAATAATTAAAGTGCTCAGGCAGGTTCTAGTTGTCATGCAGCAAAATGAAGCCTTGTTATTCGGGCTGAAGTTAAGCGTAGCATGAGCTGTCCTTATTTTAAAAAAAAAAAAAAAAAAAAAAAAAAAAAAAAAAAAAAAGTGTTCTTCCAAGAACTTAAATGGGGATTCCTAAAGTGTAGAGAGCTAAGGACTTATAAAAAGGATAACTTTGTTCAGTTTTTAATGTCTGTTGGTAGACCTGATGTATGTTTTGACCATAATTGAAGACAGTTTGCCCAAGTGACTGTGTTTCTTTTTTAACAAAATTATAGAATGTAGCATTTACAATGTTGAATAACATAGTTATAAAGTGGTTTGTTCACAGGTAGACAAAAAAAAGAAAAAAATCCTGATTGTTGCAGTTTGAATATGTAACTTTTCTAATATTGCTGGTAGAATGACACTTCTGGATTTGCCCCTTTGTGTAGTGAGTGTTCACACCTGCCATCTTTCTGTGCTTTCTCTGAATCCTTCATGCTGAGAGCTAAACACTGGTCTTGAGGAAACTGAAAGTGTCTGGGTTCTGTTGCAGGTGCTGCTGGTGTGGAAGATGAGGCTGCATGAGAGCCGGACAAGGCCCTTCCAGGCTCCTGCCACTGTGCACAGCTTCCCGGGCAGGCAGGTGTTCGTGTTCCCCAATGGCCGCCCGGACTCCGAGGAGGAGTCCTCGGAGGAGGAGGAGCTCAACGTGATGGAGCTGCGGCCCAGGGGCAAGGAGCAGCAGCGGGGCAGCGCCCGGGCCAGGCTGGGGGACGTGGTGCTCCTGGAGAGGGAGCTCACCGAGGAGGACAGCCTCAACAAGCTGGCCCTGCAGTACGGCTGTAAGGTGAGGGTTAGCCACCCCCGGGGTTTCACGTGCAGCGGCTTCCAGAGGTGTCCTGTGGTCTGCTGGCTCTGACAGGTGTCAGCCCTGTGTGTTGTGTGGATGGTCACTGTCTCGGTAAAACTGGAGACAGGCAGAAATAACCCCAGACAAACACAAAAAGGAGTTGTTCAGCCAACAGCCTGGGACAATGTTGTCAGCCTCACACCCTGCCTGACCTGCTTTCCTGTTTAATTTCGGTGACTAAGTGCAGGTTGTACTAAGTTATTTCAGTGAGGGCAAACATTAGGGAGCTGACTGTAGAAATGAGGGCCAGGGCTGTGCTCTCAAGGAACATTGGAGTTTTTGAAGCAAATTGAGCAGTACAAAGAGACACCACAGTTATAGGTGAGGTCTTTTGTTTATTTTTTTAAAGGTATCAGCTTACATTTTCCAAGTAAGGTCTGAGTCTAACGGGTGGATGTGGAGAGGTGCCAAAGTTCAGTCCCAAAGTCCAGGTGATGTCTGTGTTTGGGTTTTGGTTGTTTGCTGTCATCCCAAAGCGTGCACTGTTCAGGTGCCTGTGGGCAGGAGGGAGGGCGTGTGCACAGTGAGATTTCTGAGTTGGAACAACTACACAGCATGTTTTCTTTGTTCCAAAAAAGAGCAAAACTGCTGGAACGTTTAATTACCTGCTCTGAACATTGGAAGCCCCCCGTTGTTTAGCAGTTGGAGCTGTGTTTTTAGAGCCCCCTTTATCTGCAAGCTGGACTGTGATTTCAGAGTTCCATGATGAAACAATTGGCCAGCGACCGCAGCAGGGATAATGATACAGCTCTGGCTCCAGTGCTGCCCTGCCAGTGCAGTCTTGCTTAACCACACAGCAGCTGTATGGTGCAGCTGAGGCAAGAGGCCTTAGAGGGATTGCAGCAATTCCTCCCCTCCCATGCCCTTAGAAACAAAAACAAAACAAGAAAGGCACCCATGTATGTTCTGCTGACGAGCCTGATGTGTGTGAAGAAGCAAGTCTGGTAGGACTTGAATAGGCCTTGATTGGTCCCAGGAGAGCCTGAGAAGGCAGAGCTGAGCTTTGGTTGCGTTTAGAGCTGTGTGCTGCTCTCAGCAGCACCTGGGCAGACTCACAGCAGTTGGGTGAACTCAGAGGAGGAAGATTGTAAAGAGTTCTTTGGTTTATGAAGAGTCCTGCTGTGCCGCTGCACTGTCACCCAGTTCTGTGGCTGCACTGTCACCCTGCTGTGGCTGCTCCTCTGCTGCCCCACTCCCAGAGCCTTTCAGCCCCTCTGGAGGCTGCTGGGCCTGCCAGGGGAAAAGCAAACTGATGGAAGGGACCACATAGCCAGTGTTCTCCTCCCTCAGGACAAAAACTGTCCTGCTGCCTCCCTCAAAAAAGAAAGAAAAACTTCTGATTTGTTCCAGTTAAACTGAAATCCTTATTGTAGGAAATTTGTCTCTTTAAAGACTGGCATGACAGTTTTCATGTGTTTTATTTTATTTGCACAATTGAACAGCTCCTGAAAGGTCGCCAGGACAGCAGTGAGAACTGTAACCACACCTATATAGGCAAATGTGTGTAAAAATCCAGGATGAGCTTCTCCTTGAAATGAATGAGAACTTGACATTGGTTTCAGAATCTGCTTGGGAAGGGGATAGTAAGACAGTGCAACAAATAGCTCTGTGTGTGTGCCACAGATAACTTGGCAGAGATGCAAAGCACTTCAAAATTCTCATTTTTACTCTTGACCATTTATAGTCCTGGCTTGCTTTTGTCATTGTTCTTAGGCTGGGACAAGAGGAGCTCGCTGCAGCCAAGAAAATGAGTACAGAAAATAAGCCCAAATGCTTGTGCAGCCCAATCTCTTGCATGCTTCCCATCAGCTTTGTTTGTTGTTTCTGTGTGAGTGCTGCTCCACTTTCTGTGTCTAGAGTCTTAGCACCACACTGCAGTATTTGATTGCAGACACCACGGGGGATATTTACTGTCCCAGTAATTTGTTTTCATTGGAACAAATCCAGAAATTGAAGCAGCACCTCAGTTAGGAGGCTCTGGGTGAGATTGTTATTTCATAACTAAGAAATTTTGCAGGGTTTAAGTCCAGAGCTGACACTGGAGCTGGCTGTGAGGACCCCAAAACAGTGACTGAGGATTCCTTTTGCCTCAGGGTCCCCAGATCAGGTTCTGGATTAAGTGTGCCGTTTTCAGAGTTCTGAAGCTTTGCAGAGTAAACGTGAGATCAGGCCTCCATCTCCTCTACTCTCCACCTCTGAGCAGAGTGCTTGGGAAGTAAAGTGGGTTTTTTTGTTTTAGCTCCCCAGTTTCCTTGGCAGCCTCAAGCAAGTGTGCAGTGAATGCAGGTCATGTGATTTCTGAAGAGCAAAGCACAGTCCCTGTGCTGTGTCTGTCTGCTGTGATGGATGAGAGGTGCTTTACCTGTTTGTGTTGCCTTTCTCTTTGCTTTGGCTCTTGCTGTTTTGTTTTGTGCCCTCCAGCCTTTTCCTCAAGGTTCTTTCACATCTCCTTGGCTGCAGCAGAGAGCTCCTGGCACACACTGACATCCTGTTCCTTTCCTTTGACAGAGGGTTTAGTGCAACTGAGAAGTTGCTGTGCTTGCTGGGTGGCTGTGAGTGGCCACTGGATGAAGCATCTTCTCTTATTTAACGTTAAATAAGGATGCTGCCTTGCCTTTGTATCGGCGCTGCCTGTCCCTGTGTCTGATGCTGCACCTGTGGCTGCTTCTCCCTTGCTCTTCCTGCTGCTGCGTGGGGACACGGCTCACAGACAGGAGCCCTACACAGGAGCCACCAAAGGTGGTGACAGGAGCACAGAGGTGATTGTTCTTCAGCAGGACATGCTCAGGAGGAATGGGCTGGATGAGCTGCTGTCCTGCAGAAGAGAGGTGTTCCTTGAGCAGAGGATGCTCGTGCCTGTGTGGGAGATCCTCACTTGCTCTCCAGGCTGTGCCCTTGCTTTCAGAACTGTTGTGCTCCCAAACTGGAGCTCTGATCACTCTGGAATCATTCCTGAGCAGGAGGTGCTCACACTGGTGTTGTGCTGTCACCTGAAGCACTCGTGTGTAAGGTGTGAAAATAGTTTTTTAAAGGATCTGTTAGTTAAAAAGATTCTTCTTGCCTTAACTGAGAGAAGGGTGAAAAAGGCAAGGGCAAGGAAAAGCAGTATGGAGCAAAATACAGCAGGCACAAGAAGTGGAGGTTGTAGACTGGTTTAATGGGGACTGACTATCCTGCAGGGCCTGGAGCACCCCTGGAACTGCTGGGGAATCTCGCAGAACATCAAATCACTTGCATCCAGGGCCTGCTTTTATTCCCTGATGGCTCCTGGCACGCTGGTTTTGTAGCTGCTTCCTGCCTCACTCCTGGGCTGTCCTGCCCTCACTGTTTGTGTCCTTTCTGGATTCCTTAGGTTGCAGATATCAAACGCGTCAACAACTTCATCCGGGAGCAGGACCTGTACGCGCTGAAGTCCATCAAGATCCCGGTGCGGCCGCACGGGCTGCTCACGGAGAGCGCCGGGGCCCTGCGGCCGCCCCCGGCGGGGCCCGCCCAGCCCGGCCTGACGCGCGTGGAGCCGCCGGAGCCCGACCCCGGTGCAGGGGGCTCCGCTGGCGGCCGGCGTCTCAGTGAGTACTTCAGGGGCATCGACCAGAGCATCCAGGACGCCGTGCAGGTGGAGGTGCAGCTGAGCGCGGAGTACGGCGGGGAGGGGCTGGAGAGGCCGCTGCCCGAGGCGGGGAAGCGGGACGCTGGGAACGGCGCGGACTGTGGAATCCAGTGGTGGAACGCCGTCTTCATTATGCTCCTGATAGGAATCGTCCTGCCGGTGTTTTATATCATCTATTTTAAAACACAAGGCCTGGTGGCCCACAGCTCTAACATGACAAACTCAAATGTTTCAACAGCTGGATAGGAAGGAGAATTACCACAAGGCTCAGTCGTAGGAAAAAAAATCCTAAGGTGAAAGGGCAGCCCACTCCAGCCTCTCCAGCAGTGATGCCCGTATGGTTGTGACTGACTCAAGTGCACCCAAGGGGATAAGACAATACAGATTATTTTTATTTTTATAAGTAGCTGATGATGTAATCCTGAATTTGACTGAAAATTAGGTGATGTGATTTTGATAGGAAAACAAGGATGCTTTGTTGCTTACAGAGATCGTCACCCAGGTGGCTTCACAGTTGGGAACTCTGTTGAGGGAAAGTATTTTGTAGCAATTTACTCATTATGGTTGCTTCAGGTATTTCTTAATGCCGTGTCTAGAAGCAAATTCTTTGCTGCTGAGCTAGAGAGTGCAGTATTAATGTGGTTGGAAAGTTGGGAGTTGTTTGTATTTTAAAGAAACACTTTTTGCTGGAAGTGGGGGGGCACTTTTTCTCAGAAGTGTCATTTTTGTCTCTTGCAGACCATGGTGGTTTTGGCCTGCTTGAGCCTAATGATGCCTTCTGGGGCTCTAAGCTGGGTGTGCCAGGGCATGGTGACGCTGCCAGCACCCCACCTTGTCACCCCTGTGAGCAAACCTTTGAGCTGTGTTCAATTACAATGCATCAGGCCCACCCCTGGGAAGGGTGAGCCCAGACCTCTTTCACTCAGTGAAATCCTTCAGAGATGGCTCCTGAGATCAGAGCTCTCCGTGCAGGATCTGTGCTGTCCCAGCGTGCTGCTCAGCCCTGTGTGGCCCCAGGTGGGCAGGGGGTGTTGGATGATGACAGGAGAGCACGAGAGAGGAGTCACAGGCACTTCTCAAGGGCTCGTTTTCTGCCAGGAGGGCTAGTCAGTATTATTTGCTAGAAAAACTAATAATAGTCTGTAGTGGTGCTTCTCAGACACCCAGGCTCAGTCATGGAATTACTTCCTTGTGTGCAGTCTGAGTGGGAGTGAAGTGGGAGCTGGGTGCGTGTTGCAAGGTCCAGGACAGAAGTCCAAGAAGGGTGAAGCCTTTCTAGGAGAGCACCGTGAAGCTGCTGGTTGTGAGTTTCTGTGAACTGACCACGTGCACTGAAAAGCTTCGCAGGGCAGTGGAGATGTTGGTCAGCCCCAGGGCTGTGCTCTTCAGTCACTCAGCAAAGACTACCTTCTGCAAGGGAGCAGCAAGGGAGGCCTTGGGAGCTTTGCTAAAGAGAGGAACTTCCCTCAGAAATTTGATTCAGCGAATTCTGGGCCTGTGGGCAGAGGTAAAGGCTTTCCTGGAACCAACCACTAAATGTGTGGGCAGGTGCTGTTGGTGCTGAGGGTGAGGGCAGTGCTGGTGGGCAGGGACAGGAAGCTGCTGTTCATCATCCCCACCTCAGCCCAGCCCCATCTGCACGTTCCCAGCTGCCAGCAGGACCACAGGGCTTTTCCAGCTTCCCCTGGCAGCCTGAGGCCGGCTGGGGCAGAGCAGGGGCTGTGGCACAAGCACCTGCTGTGCAGGTGTGGCTCAGCCTGGCCTGAAGGACTGCCTCTGCCTGGACAGGGAGGATTGAAGCTTCTCCAGCAAGGTGAGGACCCTGCACCACACAGGCACAACCGTGTGCTGCTACAATGAGAACCTGCGTTCCCTGCAGCTCTCAAAAGTGGGAACCTAATTTTGTTAATGAACACTCCAAAGTATCTTATATTGAACAAAATCTTGTATTTTTCTTCTGTGAAGAGCTGTACCTCTGTTCTGGGGAGAGGGTGGGACCAGGTTCTTACATTTTTAAATAAAGCCACATGAAATGAAAGCACAAGGGGCACAGCTTGTGCTTTATTTGCTACCACACAGCTGAGCACCTGCCTTAGAAGGAGGGGCCCCTTGCAGCCTCACCTCAGCCTCTGCAGAGAGCAGGAGTGGGAGCAGCAGGAGGAACCGGGGCTGAGGCAGGACTGGCCTTGGGCTCTCCACTCTCCATGGACCCTGGGTCATCTGCCAGTTTCTCCATGTTTTACAGAAAGGTGCTTAGCAGGCATCAGTCCTTGAGTGCAGTAACAAGTGTGTGTGCATCCCTGCTGAGATCCTCGTGGCTGCAGTTAAGAACCAACACCTGGCACCTGGACTGACAGCTGCAGGGGGCAAGGACGGGACGGGACGAGTGCTCTGCAAACACGAGAGAGGCCGGAGTACACAGTAAAAGCCAGTATCTTTACTTTAGTGAATGCAGGATACAAATATTTTACAACAACCTCTAGCATTTTCTTAACCATTTGATAAAAAGTTCACTAGAATATTTATTGTATATTGAAGAAAAAACAACACATTCAGGGAAAAAAATTGAGATTAACTTATTTTTTTTCTTAAAAGATTCGTCTCAAGGATGGCAACAAAGTCCAGCTTGTGCCGCCAAACGGCTTATCAGCATTAAACCGTGAACAGCTTCTTGTGAACTGTTGACTACAAACATTTACCAAATACATAAATCTCTTTTAAAAAAGCCATTTTAAATATAGCAAAGCAGTGTTCTCTTGCACAGCAAAGTGAAGAAAGGTTCTACTAAGATTTAAATGTTTACATTGGTTAAGTCTTTCTTTCACATTCGGATTTAACTTCTGCCCAGGATCAATTGTTAGGAGTTGTTTTGTTCCTTATTTACTATGTATTTCTTGTGCGCACAGTAACTCGCAAGTTTCTGATGCATTAGTGTCCTTGGAGGGAAGGCAAGGCTAAAGCAGTTCTCTCTGACGAGTCCCTGACAACGTGGCGTTCTCAAAACTATCGTGAGAGCTCGAGGATGGAGGTGATTTGTCACAACAGAGATAAAAATCTTAAATCGTTCAGACCTGACTGGGTTCAGCCCAGGATTGGATCCACTTGCACTTCAGTCAGCAGAGATAATTTTAAAAAGTTTTTTTTTTTTAACATGTTGAAATATCTGTGCTATGTCATCTCTTTTTTTTTTAATATAAAACATTTTTACAATTTCTAAAAAAGTATGTTTCAAAGTGAGTTACTTGTTATTAAAAACCAGGATTCCCATGTCCTCGGTGGCAGGAGGTGCTCCCCGAGACCGGAGGGCTGTGGAAGGACGTTTCTGCCGGGGCTGGGGCAGCACAGGGCCACTCCCTTGCCCAGCTCTTTAGAACTGATTCTTTTTATTATTTTTGTTTAATTCATTGGTGCAATTTCAATACAAACTCTAACCCTTGTGTAGCTTTGTCTTTAAGAAAACAGTAGTTAAGTACTGTTTAAAAACCTGCATAGAAATAAAGACTATTGAGATACAGTCAGCAAAGCCATCTGATAAGGCACACAAGAAAATAGACAGTAAATGTGAATGCAGAACTCCCACTCGGATGTACAGCAAAGTTCATACAGGTGCATAAATCATGGAACTCACATCACTGGTCAGAGCAGCAAAAGGTTCCAGGGAGCAGCAAGTGAATTCGGTCACTGGGGACACAACGGCCACGGGAACGTGTCCTTCTGCCTCCACCCTCCTGCCAGCCGGGATGAACCCAGGAAAGGGGAAGCAGTTCCAGGGGAAGGGCTGAGGGCACTGGAGCCCCTGCGGGTTTAACGCTGCCAGGACAACGAGACAGGGCTGGAGCCACAGGGACACCGCCCTTCTCACCCCTCCCTTACAGCATCAAGGGATTTTTCTTAACTGGAAAAAAAAAAAAAAAAAAAAAAAACCCCAAGAAAAAAAAAAAAAAAAACATAATAAATATCAGGGCTAACTCTGAAGAGTTTGGGCAATCCCACAGCTCTGCAGCTTCCACCCAGAACCAGCACTGCCAGCCTGGAGGTGACCGGGAGCACCGGTGGGATCACGGCCCCGCATCCAACACCAAACCTGCTCCCAGCCCAGTCTCGTGGCACAAGGGGGCTCTGCATTCCTCCCCCTCTTTCTTGGAAGCAGCAAATTTTTCCCAAACCACTTGCCAACTCACAAAACCTTTTGTGCTCCTCTGATATGTGTCATTTCCCTATCATGAGAAATTAGGTCAAGTTTTTCCACTATTTTTTTTTTCCTCCTCAGAAGAGGCAGCTTTAAAATGATGCCTTAAAATGTGTTGTAACAGATTTTTTATATTTATGCAGGATGAACTTAACACCGGATTTTTTTTTTGCCACTTTGCTATTTATATACATATATATAAAATGTATAATGAAGCTTAACCATACAGCACAGAGATTACAATTGAACGGCACACATTCACCACCAGTGAGGGGGCCAACCCCTTTATACACCCTCTGAAAAATCTGGATAATAATATTAATAATAATTAAAATCCAAAGAAAGTACAGTATATTTAACAAAATAGTAAATATTAAACAGTGAATACTCTACTTAATAAGGACCTCGCCTTGTTTCAAGTTGGCGTCAATCCACAAAAATATACTTTTTAATCTGGTGACCGTACAATACATAGGTACTTACACCAAAGGTGATAATATATTTAGGATGCTATATACACAAAGAGTTTGGCTCAAATTTAAATTTACATATAAGTGTTCATGGCTTATTTTTCCCCCAAGGTTCCGCCTGCAAGTTTTTCCTTTTCATCTTTGAAAGCAAAAACTAGAAAGTCAAAATAAGATAAAACTATACTCTACAAAAAAGCTACAACATACAGCTTTGGCTTATATAAATAATTCATAGCAGAATGTGTTCAAAAGTACTGTATATAACTTTATATATAGTCTTCAATTCATTAGGGTATTGTTTTCTTTAATATAAAATATACATGAGCTAAAATCCGTTTCTATATTTTTCAAAGGTATGAACGTAAAAACAAATTTGTCAAACATATTCCAATTATAACTTAATATATTAATTTTATTTTGTTAATGTTCTATTTTCTAGGCTAATATTTTCTGAATATTTCATGCGAGTTCTCTATGCTCTCTTTCACTCATTAAAAAAATCACTTCTTTGACCCAATACACTTTCTTTTTTTTTTTGCACGTGCAAAACAGGGTTTTTGTTTGTTTTTTTTTTATTTCTTACAGCATCAGCCCTTCTCCATGCACCCTCTGCAATAGAGACCCATGCCAGGTTGGGTAATAGAAAGGTCAGTTTATGTACAGTATTGCTTTCTTCTTCCTGCTTTTCTACTGCTCTGCTGCTACAAAGCAATTATTTCTTAACTACGAGTAACCATAGAGCTGACTACACACAGGGACGGTACTACAGGCGAGCCCTCGCTCGGGTGGGTGTGGAGGAGGAGGAGACACTGCGGGGACACCGCTCTGCGCGGGCCGGGCCGGGGTTACACACGAGTCCAGGTAAGTGCCAGACTAGAGATCAAACCTACGGGATTGTTCTGTTACTTTTACCAAGGGACATCTGCAGCTATACAAGAGTTTGTCGTAAGTGCCTGATGATTGGTGTATGCTACACACACTAGCACATATATATGCATGTGAAGATATATATATGCACGTATGTATATACATATAAATATACTTATTCATGTCCTTATTTATAAATTTAGATATGTCAGGACAGTTCATTTTGAGAACACAAAGCTGAGAGGGCGGCACCGCGGGTTTATGTCACCCACGTGTCCATCCTCATCCGTTTTACCGAGGGGCTCTCCCGATCCTCTGCGTTGGGCGGCCGCCCCAGCACCACGGGCGAGTGGAAGTCGCTGCGCGGGTCCTCGCGGTCGCTGCCGTCGTAGGAGCTGCTGGAGCTGCTCAGGCTGTCGACCGGGGAGCGCCCCAGCTCCTGGCGCGACGGCGGCGGCGGCGGCTGCGGAGGCTGCGGCTGCTGCGGCGGGAACCCCGAGGGGGTGACGCGGTCCCGGGGAGGGGAGATCGGTTCCGATTTGATGTTGATGTTTTGGTTGGTGTTAATGGAGAGATTTGAACCCTGAGATAGCTGGCTGCCAGTGCTGGGGAAAGAAAACCGAAAGGTGCAAATCAGAAAATGCAGAAAGCGAAAACCGAGTGACGGTTCACGTGTCCGTGATGGTGAGGGCTTGGGGCTCAGCACAGAAATAAATGCAGTTTACTGGGAAAAGCAAAGGTGAAAAAATCATTAATTAAAGGTCTGAGCTGCATTTACAGAAGTTCAGAACAAACAAATATTTTCTATTGCCAAACACTTCAGTCACCACATAGGTGCCCCCTTGGTGAGAAGCTGAGCCTGCAGGGACACAGCTCATTAGCTGGAGACTGGAGGTGACTGAAGGGACAAACACCCCGACACACGAATGTTTTCCAGCACAGACAAGAGGTTAAAATGTGCTGAATATTCCTTAGTGCAGCTGCTCCAGCCCCCCTGTGCTGCCCTGCCCTGGTGCCCTGGGTACTTACACAAGAGAGCTGAGGGCTGCGGGACGGAGGTGGTGCTGCTGCCAGGCAGACACCTGCCCCAGGGACAGCATTCCTGGGGAGTTAAACCCCTGCAGGGCAGACAGGTCTGCGCTAGTCAAGGAGTAATCTAAGAGGGAAAAACAAATAAACAGCAAAATAATGTACAGGGGGTTTATAGATATAACATACATATACACATAAACACAAATACAAAGGCTTTCTGCCCAAAACAAATAAAGGCAGCTGATCCAAAGGAATCCAAACGTGAAAACTCTTGAAGTCTGGGAGCAATCCTGCCAAGCTCACAGGGAGCTTAACAGAACAGAAGCCTCCAAACGAAAAATTTTTGCATTCTGCTTTCAGGTCCTCCATGTTGCTGTCTGGGAGCTTGTTCCAAACCCACAGGTACAACACATTAATGCAGTGTATATACAGAGCTGTGCACCTTACAGGCCTCAGGAGTCCCAGCTGCTCCCAGCAGGTGAAGCTTCTTGGGGCTGCCTTTTTCTTTTTGTTTCATTTCTTCTCACTACTGGAACTCTGAAAACCCTCACAGTATTTCTGCACAGCTTCAGAAAGGTTTCATCCCAAGATGATTGACCCAAAAAGCCCCTTTAATTGAATTTAAAAAATAAGGAAAAAATAACAACTATGCAGCCCCTGCAGTGACCCAGACATGCACTGAGCCTGCCAAGCAGCCAGGCCTCCACAGCTGCCCAGTGCAGCCCAGGCACACCCTGGGATGGATGTGCTGGGCTGATGGGATTTGTCAGAGCAGACCTGAAGGGAACACTGATAGGAATCCAGTTCCCATGTCATTTTTTTCCACTGCAATTACAGCTTTTATGACCATGGACAATTAACTTCTGACACTTCAGACAGAATGTGTCTGGTGACAGGGCTTTGAGGAGGTATTTTTCCAAAGAGCACACATGTCACTACACAATTAGCTGCTTTATTAATTCCCTAAATAATCACGTATCTGCTGGCAGTGACAGGAGGACACCCCTGCTGCAGGAGTGACCTGATGTGAGATGTACACACCACAGAAACCATCACTGCTGTGACCCCCACAGGCAGCACTGGAAGTTTGTAGCTCTGCAAAACAACTGACCTGAAGCCAGGAATTTATGGCTTTCTGTGCTCTGCTCAGGTGTCAATTACTAATTAACTGATTGCAGGGGGTTTTAATATTTTTTAAATGCCTGGACTGTTTTAGAATAGTAATTCAGTTAGTTCTGGCCCTTCCTCCAACAATCTACAGAATACCAAAACAGATTATATAAAATAGGGTATTTGTGGAAAATTGATATCCAACATTTTAATTAAGGATCCAAGAGCTAAAGCTATCCCTTCCAGTCCTGAAAAAAACAACCTTATCAATCCAGAAAAATAATTAAGGTATTTAAATTTTATCTTAGTCCTTGAATTGCAAAACTGAAATTGTGCTGTAAGTGGTGACTACCCTGAGATTCCCCAGGCAACAATTTGGTTTCAACATCAAATTTCTTCCCGCAAATCCCCTGAAAGGTTCAGTCTAATAGAAATCACTCTAAAGTGTGTGAAAACCATGAAAGGCTAAAAGCTTTGCAAAAATTATTTGCATTTTCAAAGAAAATGGGCTGGAGTTTAAAATCACACCCCAGCACTTGTCCATTACGTAGGACATCAGCTCCCATTGCCTGTGCTGCTTCCTGAGATTCCAGCCCCTCTCAGCTTTTGGTGTTTCAGCCAGCAGCTCACAGGTTATTCTGAGCTGCTCCCTGAAGCAGCATCCTGGACAGAAGGGATGTGCCAGGTGAGGCTCCTCTGAGCAGGGAGGGACCAGAAGGGTTTGCTTTGAACAGCCACTGAACACAAGAGCTGAAACACCTCTGGGGCAAGAGTCAAACCAAGGCCTGCATGTCCAGCTACTCACACTTCAGCTGATCACCCAAAGCAAGCCCCTGCTCTGCCCGTGGGGCTGCTCCTGCAGCCCAACTTCTGCACTCCCTGCTTCAGACTTCACCCTCTCTGTGCTTGCATCGACTCCAACAACTGCGCTGGAGCTGCTGCAGGGAAATACAGCCCCTGGCTGAGGGGTGTGGGGAGAGCAGGGTCCCAGCACAGCCCCTGGCTGGTGGGTGACATCGGTGACAATCCCTCTGTGTGCACATTCCTGGCTGCTGCACTGCCCAGGGCACAGAGAGGGGCTCAGGGCACTGCCAGCTAATGTGCTCATTAACACAAAAAGATACAAGAGGATGTGAGGTGCTTGGCTTGCTAAACTAAAACTGCAGTGAAGACTTTCAAAGCTAAATGTGGAGAAAATGTGTAAAATCCCATCTTTAGAGATGTGGAAT